GTCTGGAGGCCCCAGTGTGAGCTGAGGGGGAGGAGAGATGGTCAGGGCGACGGCACTGAGATGTGGCCAGACCCAGGCTTGGGAGCGCTCGCCTGGCGGTGGGTGCCTGCGTGGGAGGCAGCGCGGCTCCCGCACGGGGAGGAGGGTCCTCTGCCTTCGAGGGAGGCCCAAGCCCCAGGACCCAGGGCCTCGAGACAGACACACACGCGTCGGACACGGAGGGACGAGGGCTTCAATATCTACCAGCGGCCCCTTCGCCTTCGCCGTCGGCACTGACAGAGATCCGGGGCAGGAAGTGCAGCTTCTTCTCCACCCAGCCCTTCCTGCGCAGCAGCGCCCGCACCACGGGGTAGTGCCCGTGGATGGAGAAGATCTTCTTGTCCTCGAATGAGAGCACAGAGTCAGCGACGGGGGAACAGGGCACGCTCGTCCCGCGGGAGCAGTTTTCTTTTTAAAATATGTTTGCACTGATTTCAGAGAGGAAGGGAGGAGAGAGCGAGACATCAGTGATGAGAACCGCTGATCGGCTGCCTCCTGCATGCCCCCTGCTGGGGACCGAGCCCGCAACCCGGGCCTGTGCCCTTGACTGGAATTAAACCCAGGACCCTTCACTCCATAAGCTGATGCTCTATCCACTGAGCCACACTAGCTAGGGCAGGAAGTGCAATTTTTAAAAGCAATCAGTCCAGCCCTGGTTGGTGTGGCTCAATGGATAGAGCGTCGACCTGTGGACCAAAGGGTCCCGGGTTCGATTCGATCAAGGGCACGTACTTCAGTTGCAGGCTCCTCCCTGGCCCAGGCCCTGGTCGGGGCTTGTGCAGGAGGCAACCAATCGATGTGTCTCTCCCTCTCTCTTCCACTCTCCCTAAAAACCAATGGGAAAATGTCCTCGGGGGAGGATTAACTAACGAACTAAATAAAGAAATAAAGCAATCAGTCCCCAGGAGGCACGGAAGGAGAGGGGACGGAGCAGACAGGACGGCGGAGGGAGAGGTCAGGCACCAGCAGTCTGACTGGATGAACGCGCTTCCTGCTGCCGCTGGGAGGTGACGAGCACCAGACGCGATTTTTAAAAGCCCAACCCTGTGCTGTTTGCAGGAGAAAACGAACAGCACAGCCTCCGGCCGAAGGTGAGAGGACCCACATCTGAGGCAGAACAGACGTCGGGACAAAGTCACCTCACTCGCCCTGGCCGGCTTGGCTCAGTGGGTAGAGCGTCGGCCTGCGGACCGAAGGGTCCCGGGTTCGATCCCAGACAAGAGCACGTACCTCGGTTGCAGGCTCCTCCCCAGCCTGGGGCCTGGTTGGGGCACGTGCAGGAGGCAACCCATCAATGCTCTCTCACATCAATATTTCTCTGTCTTCCCCTCTCCCTTCCACTCTCTCTAAAAATCAATGGGAAAATATCCTCAGGTGAGGATTAAAAGAGGTCACATGAACATCGCTAGAGTAAAGGCAATTTTTTAATAATTGAGAGAAAAGAGTCGGCCCCGCAGAACGATGCGTTTGTGTGCACCTGTTGACAGGGCTGCACGTTATCTGCAGCGAAAATGGACAGAATGGAAGAGCAGACACATCCACAGCGTAACAGGGTGTTAACACGCTTCTCCCCGTGGCTGATGGGACACAGACAGAAGCCAAGTGTGGCCACAGGACTGAACAAACAGGAGACTCCGCCCGAGGGTGTGAAGCCAGCGTTCACACCACCTTCCGCCCCATTCACCAGACACAGGCACAGGGCATCTCGGCAGGACGATTCACGCCGACCACGTGCTCAGCCACACGCACCCTGGGAAGAGGGCAGACACTCGCACGCGGCTGGTCAGCTGCCCGTGACCAGGGAGGAAGGAATCATCCTCATATATAAAGAGCCAGGGTCCGCCACGACCTAAACGTCCGGACGGCGACCGAACACCAGCCTAGGGTCCCGGCCGGCGCGGCGGGAGTCAGTCCTGGGTCCCGGCTGCCCGCGGCACAGCGACGGGAGGGAACTGTGGGAACGGAGCCCTGCTGCGATCGGACTGGCCTCTGGGTCCCTCTCCCCCGGCCCACAGGCTCTGGGGAACCAGAGCAATGGGACTGGACCCTACCCGAGGGGTCCCGGATTGTGAGAGGGTGCAGGCTGGGCTGAGAGACCTCCCCTGAGTGCACAAATTTTCGTGCACCAGGCCTCTAGTTTGGATTATAAAATACTTTCTATGGACTCGCAACAAAAATACTAGAAATGAGAGCTCGTGAAATGCAGCCAACACAGTGCTCTGAGGGCGCCTGTAGTCGGGCGTGTTCATGTGTTTGCGGGCCGCAGAGGGAAACTGAGTCATGAGCTGCTCTGATTCTGTTTCTATGAAATCCCTGAAAGGCGGTGATGGTGGTTCCAGAAGGCACGGCCGCGGCGGCAAGGATTTGAGGGGGGGCAGCTTCCAAGGGTGACGGACATCTCCTCATCTCAGGTCTGTGGGGGCTGCTGCCTGACCACACGTGTCATGCGTGTCCTGGTTCTCTCCCCAGGTGCATGGCGAGCCGTGCAGCTGGGTGACTAGGCGTGTGCTGTGCTTCAGGAGAAACAACTGAGCACAGGCTCACGTAACCACGTGCCGGGTCCCTCGGGGCTCCCAGGCTCCCGCCTTCTGCCCCGAGAGCACAGGGGAGCAGGGGCCGGCACACGGGGCTCCGGGTCATCACGAGCCTGTCCCTGACACCGAACCCTGGCCCGGAAGTGTGCCCAGGGCCTGAGGCCGCGTGGCGGGACCTGGGACAGGCTTCCACGCCTCGTATGTCTGCACGTCCCCAATCTTGAGAGTATTTCCAGCGTCCAGCTGAAATAAAAGGTAACTCTAGCCCTAGCTGGTGTGGCTCAGTGGATAGAGCGTTGGCCTGCGGACTGAAGGGCCCCAGGTTCCATTCCTGGTCAAGGGCACCTGCCCGGGTTGCGGGCTCGAGTCCCAGTAGGGGGCGTGCAGGAGGCAGCCCATCCATGATTCTCTCTCACCATTGATGTTTCTCTCTCTCTCTCCCTGTCCCTTCCTCTCTGAAATAAATTTAAAAATTTTTTTAAAGTAACTCTAACACAAGCTTCCACGTGGGGACCAGGCCTGGGGGGCCAGGGACCAAGGCCGGCCGGGAGGGGGTGTTGGGTGTCAGAGCTCTGGACTCACTCCCCAAATTCCAAAATCAAATTCCATATTTAAAAGGAGGCCCCTCCCCACCGAGTCCCCAGGAGCATTTACCTTGATTGCCTTTTCCGTCAGCTGTCTCGCCATTTTGTATCTGTCCAATTTGGGGGAGGCAGATGAGTCTCCTCGTTTTAATTCTGCAAAAGAGAGAGCAGATATGGAGGCAAATGGGTGCTCTCACCACGGAGACACCAGGCGGGTTCACAGAGGCCCAGCTGCCCACAACCCTGCCCCAGTCTGTCCTCGATTCAGGACGGACCCAGGAGCCCCACAGCCCTGAGCAGCAGGTGCAGCCCCACTTCTGCCCCCA